TATAACAACATCGTACACAAAATTATCGTACACGTTCTCGAATGTACGACGAGGAAAAATTGGATGTAATTTTGAGAGGTACCCGATAATTGTAACAGCTGCTGATCCGAGAGACGGATCGTTGACGGGGCGAAATTATATGGAAAATGATTACGCCGCGTCTATCTCGCGATTGGACCGAAAGTTTGCATAGTATCCGTCGGCCCGTCGATTGAAATCCAGGAATTTAACGGTGAACGGGAGTCACTCACGCGTTCCAGTTACGAAAGGAATATATCTGCGGCATACAGCGGCGATGATTCAATCGCGGCAATGTATTCGCGATCGAGTCACCTTTTCGTCGGACAGTAGCGCAAACGTAACGCGTGCAAACATCGCGTACCGTCGGCTAATAAACGAGGACGATCGATCCCGTCGACGGTTAAGCTGCGAAATGTGGGTTCACGATTTTCGATGGCCGAACAGCGATAACGTGACCGCGCCGCGCGACGTACACGTCCGGTGCCGGGCCGGTGTTTGGCAACTCCAGCGGTCGTCATCCGGCGAACAAAATCAAATTGCTCCGATGTACATAATGAACCGTGATTAGCCTCTGCCCGGCGGGTACCGAAGTTCGAAAATTGCTTTCAAAGACAGTGATACCGGGATCGATCCATCGGGATCATCGGCGCTGGAGAATGTTCCATTAATTACGCGGAAACCTTCAGCTAATCAATGGGTAGTTAGTGGCCAATGGTTGGCTCGCATCAATAATCACTGGGCAACGTGGTAGTACAGTACTGGGCTTTGATGCGCTAATTTACACCACGTGCATTAATGCCCTTGTCTCACCAGCCTGGAACTATGATTGTCTAAGTGCTTGTACGAGCCTAGGACAGGTATGCGCAAGACGCCGCGAACAAGGCGATATATTGCGGTGAACGCGGCCGGTAAAAGCGCCGATACTACCGCATCGATCACTCCGAACGATCGTACGCAATTCAGCTACGAATAACCGTTGAATCAACGTTTCGCCGACGCGAAAGAATCACGGAAACGATCCTGACGAATTACTGATATCGCGTCTTTCTCAGGAATTTGCCGTCCTCTGCTTAAAAGTGAATTCGTATAGCAAACGAACCGACGATAACCGGAAACGCATCGCCGGTTACAAAGAAAATCAGAGTTAACCCGGGGACAAAGTAGAATCTTTCCATCTCATCGCCTCTCTAATTTCAGCTGCTCGTCGCGGGCGAGTAACGAGCTGGCCGGAAAGAATAGGAGCCGACTCTCGCTGGTTGCCTCTCGTGATCCGTCTAGTTTTCAAGAAAAAGTGCAATCGCGGTAACAGCACGCGATTAAACGGGGAACAATGCCGTAGAGTCCGAGGTTTCCCAAAATTCGCGACGCGACAATGAAAACGTTCCCTCGTTCCCCAACCCACGTCCTCGTTGCCGTGCTAGCCTACCACGGTGTATCTCTCGCCGCTATACTTTCCTACGGTCCGTTATAAATATACCGTGTAAACGTCTCCGTGACACCGGGGTCGTTCCTCCGTCGCGCTTCCGCGGCTTCCGCTTTCGAGCGGCGACAACGCTCGAAACAATGAGCTCGACCGCTCCTGCCGTCCCTCTGCTTTCCTTCCCGGAGCCTCCCCCCCCCGTTCCACCGAGCAAACTTTGGCTTTTGTCGCGACGCGCCCGGGGAACAAGCGGCGGAGAAACGAGAAAGAAGACCTCCTGCTTGGTTTATGACCGAAACAATACTTTTATCTTTCGGAATTCGTCCTCGGGTAACCCCGCGACGCGATGCCGTGCCGGGACTTGCCTAATTAGATTCAACGCCGTGAGAAGACTAAATGACTGTCGCGACGAGTGCACCGCGCGGTGTGCCGCGACGTAATAAACTTCTAAACGACGAAACAATGAACGCGGAGAATTAATAAGTTCGTTAACGAGTTACACCGCTGTTCGCGTTTAATTAAGTCGAACCCGCGAACGAGATGACCCTTTTTTCATATCCCAGGATTCGCAGCAAGAATCGCTACGCTTCTTCGAGGCGATTTTTCGCTATTAACAGTGAGCGAAATTTCTCACGTGAATTTAAAAATTGCACGCGGGTACGATTCCCTTCGCATGGATCTGCTATTCACTTAGTTAATCTCGCTCGTCGTACTCCACGCGATGCGCTCGTATAATCTCGGTAATAATTCTTCCGCTCCCTCGAAAATATTGGTGCAAAAATGATTTATCATTACCATTATGCGTCCGCGTAATACAAAGTACGACGTGCAGTTGGAATAAAACCGAGATTTGTCCACGGAACCTCGTCCACTCGATCACGTCTAATGTCTTATTGCGACAACTTAGGAGATTTTTACAAAGCGAATCTGTACGCGAGAGAAGCAGAAAGTAGGAAAAGGAACGGGCAAAAAGAGTGAAACCTGCGATTCATTTCGATGCCGTTATCGTGCGACCGTTAGAAAATCAACGCGACGGTGAAAAGGAGAAAGGAAACAAAAATATCGACGCTGCTCGAGTTCGCAAATGGGTACGGGGAGCGTTGGAACAAAAGTGGAATGCCACGAATTTCGTTCGCGTGGTATCCACGATGGAGTCTGACCGGGCCGCGCCGGAGCGGCATCGAACCTGATAAAGGAGAAAGCCCCGATATTGGTCGAACGGTGGAATGCTCCCTCTTCGCGTCCAACAACAAGATTTCTCTCTGTACCTTAGATATATATATATATGTATAGAAATCTCCTCGGCCTTATGGACCCGATCGATGGACGAAACGAGAGACAAGCGGCGAACGAGGGGGCAAGTCGTAAGGGAGACGACGTATAATAGGAGACCCTGGGTATCCCGAGTTAAAAGAGAACTCGAGAAGATCGAGAGATTGCGATTGATGGAAATACCGTTAAGCGACGATACTCCTACCGCTGTTACGATTAGACGTTCCCGCGACGCGTCGGCTGCCGGAGAGCAAGCCGGAAAATTGAATTTTCGTCGGGTTTGAGGGATAAAAAATTCGAGTGGTCGTCGCGTCGAGAAGAAAGGAGCACGAGTGTCCGAAGACCATCTTAGACAAAGACGTGAAACCAGGAAGAGCGATTTCCTGAGCGCGATCGAAGCATCGGAATTTCGTCTCCTCTCGATTCAGCCACTTAACCGGCGCGAAGAACGCCAGAAGTAGGGGAGTGTTATCGAGCGAGGCTAAACGAATTCGTATAACTCCGGGGGAAAGGATTGGATTCATCGCGGGCGGCGTCCCGACGCGACGTTCCACTGTCTATTTGTCGACTGAAATACGAAGTGTTCGGCGTAGCTGCCGCATAAAACACGCATTATTCTTAACTTTTTCCTGGTCGCAGATTCGCTGACGGAAATCCCGAGGGTGCTAAGCAAATCTGTCCCTATCAGATACAGAACGACATTACCGCGAGCTCCGGCCTCTTTTCCCGTTTTCTGCCCCGGGCTACGACGTCGGAGATCTCGAGGACAAGAGCAACCGTGATTGCCGCAGCGGACGCGTTACGAATTCCTTATCGATCATCTTTCCATTTTACCATGTAATACTCGCGTTTTCTTACGGTCAATAAAAAAAACTGCGAATATTTTCCGATCGTTCTCATTAGCCCTCTCCTCTATCTCAATCTGTACTCCGCTGATCTAAACCGGATCGACATGCAAGCTAAATTAAACATCGAGGGGTGCGCTTGATGATAAATATACGGAGCGAGATATTCGACACGGACGATCAGGACAGCAGGAGACGCGGGGACATCGTCTAGCAGATAGCGTGAAATAAAAGAAAGCCTGTCCTTGGTGCGGGATATTAAAAACAAAGGTGGGTTCGCGGCGCGGGTTCATTTGAAACGTGTTTCGCGTGGGCCGACGAAGGGGGTTTGAAACGCGTCGCACGGCGACTGCCGGCGCGGCGTGCGGAACGATGATTGTTTCGCCCCTGCACGCGCTATTGTTTCGACGCGTGTACGTACGTTTCCACCGCGAGCCAAGAGGGCCAGAGAAAGAGAAGAAATGAGCATAGTTGCCGCGGTTGTCCGTCAACGAAAAAAACCAAAGGGGAGGACAAAGAGCAAGGGAAAAAAGAGCAACGGGAAAGAAAAATGTTTACGACAGATGCATATTCATGCGGTGCGACGCTCTTGTTCCGGTTCAAGAGACGCGGATTAATATGCATAAAATTATCCCGTTTCTGATACGTCGAAGTATTGCGTTGGGAATAAGATTTTATAATACAAGTATGTGAAACTACGGGTCAAGAGGGACTTTTTCATTTCTACTATTATTACATCTCGATTGGAATCAGTGAAAAGATTAACGCGAATGAATCGATACTAATATGACAAGAGTTTTGAATTGCTGAAGATATTTATGCTATTCTCCTGATTAAAATGATAGCACACGATATTATTTCGAGTCACTTAACAGTGACTTAGTATCTTACATGAGTAAATAAGATCTGAATTATATCGTATTTGATGTCACTTCAATCAAAAGCAATCTCATGAATATGATATGAACAACAATCAAAAAGAAAGACACTTTGCAGTTGTCTCTTAACTTAATATCCCGGTTCTTATCTCGTATCTCGAGTTTTGAAACAGAATCCCGTTTACTCTTTCGAGGCATTCGGCAAAAAACGGCTCGTGTTACCAGGAAAAGAACTACCTTGTGTTGGACACACATTCCTGTTTTTCATTCGCGCGTTGTTTTGCTACGCCCGAGGTTCTCGCGACGAAAGTTAGCATCGACGCAGGAGTATAATGCAGTTCGAGCAAAGAATACTCTGTTACTTTCCCTTTAAAAATGTTTCCTATTAAAATCTATGATCTCTACGATTTAACGAGCGCTTTTACAATTATATCTGCTTAATTGGGATCAGTAAAGATCCACTAATAGTGATGCCTATTTGCTCGATACGATATCATTGGAACGGTTTACTTACAGTCTACAAATACATATACGACGTTTGATATTAACAGTTTGATGACTTACCGAGAACGACGAGTTTCACAGCTCTCCCGGTAAGTATCTGGCCCTGGTCGTCCTCCAGCGTGCAGCCCCATGTACCATCATCTTCTAATCTGACGTTGTCTATGTGCAACGCTGCCGTGATTGAATCGCCAATATATCTATGTCCAGTCCCGCTCATCTCCGTCCTCGTGTTGATCGTAATCATGTCCACCGGACTTCCCTCGTGCAGCCATGTCGCTGGTCGTCTTCTATAGCTTCTAACAATACAATCAATTCGATTCATTATAATTAGGTAATTGATCAGGTGCCAAACGCGATACACGTTTCCATAACGCGACTCGACCGAACAAATTTTGAACACAAGCTACATTTCAAAGTATTAAGAATTCCCCCCTCAAAATCTTTTTAAAGAATAAACAAACAATAAGTATATCTGCTATCCATCGTTACGTAATTGATCCTATGAATTGGAAATGCTACTTACATCCGTCTTCTAATTTCCCAGTCAAATCACAGTCACTGAATAAATCACTTTCTTCGAAACAAGGAGAAAAGTAAAAGAACTCCTCTCCAAGAAATAAATCAAAGAAAACGAACAAGAATCTATCTCTGTACGAGTGTGCAACGAATTTCGATTCGCTCGCGCGTATTCGATTCGCCTGCGTCTATAAAACAGGTGAAATTACCTGGCCCCGGGCAACAGTAGTCTCGTGTGATTCTCCTCGAGCTCGCACGGCAGTATGACTTTGCTGTGAGGTTTTACCATCAGCTCCAAGGGTGGCTTCGACGGCGTGGCGACTGTATCTAAGGAGACTGGAACATTGGTCGGAGCGGAGGAACTGGTAGACCATAAGTCCTCTTCGGGGGCTAGAAGGGCCGCGGGCTGTGCCACCTCGTCCGACAGAGAGATCACCGTTGAGCTGGACGTCGTCGTTGTACTGGTGGTGCTCGTCGTGGTCCTTCTCGAACGACGTCCTCCCTCCTGCCTGCCACGGAGTGTGAAAACGCCGGCTTCGTTCACCGAACCTGCGTTTCCAACAGAGAATGCACCACACCGTTAGCGATAATTACTTTCACTGTTCAACAGGTTAAAAGTGCAACGCTCGATAGCGAAAATGAAAGTCACGAACGAAATTCACTGTCAATTAATCGAGAAATTTCCAGAAGAATGGCGACGCTACGAATTGCGTCGCAATTGACGGCAAACAGGCAGTTAATAGCGTCGGTAAGAATAAGAACGCCGGTTTTTGATAATAAAGCTAAGACGTAGAAGAACTCACCCGCTTTCACATTATTTGTACGACACTACAGATTTTTACGGCTCTCGCGACTGCACAAGGATACGAACAGGTCCGCACTTCCTCCCTCGACAAAAAACGATGGCGTACTGACCGGCACAAAGCTCTTCGCGGCGCGGTAGACACCTGACGCGCTAATCGCCAGCTGATTGGTTCGCGCGAATCTCCTGATTCTGTCTTCTCGAATGAGCGAGAGGGTAAGTACAGTCCGAACAACAAAAGTGGTGAATAAATTGTTTGAAAATTATTAATCAGCTGATTGGTTCGCGCGAATCTCCTGATTCTGTCTTCTCGAATGAACGAGGGGGTAAGTACAGTCCGAACAAGGAAAGTGGTGAATGAATCGTCTGAATTAAAACGATCGTTTCACACGCAACAAGTATTCATTACAAGAGTGTTAAAATTATTAATCAGTATTATTCTAAGAATTGTGGGAACAACAACTCTCAACGATCGGCTACAGGACGCAGCTACGAGCGTACGTAAATTAAATACAAGCTAATTAACGTTACATTTTTTTCTCTAACCGTAAGTACAATTTTAATTATTTAGATTCCAAAAGTTTGTCGTGTCAAAGAGAACTACTTTCACGATGTACACAAGCGTTCGTTACCGTTTTATTTAATTAAATTTCGACATTTAATGAGAATGATGCGACGGTCAGAAAATCGCGAAGTAAACGAGGTTACATGCAAGCAAAGGGGCTTCTTAACTAAATAGTGTTTCCAACCATCGATCGATTCTCCCGAAAACTGTCTATCAGGCTCGGTCGAGCGGGGCTGCACGAGGAAAACTAATTATGACTTCGATGGACCGCAAACAGGTATAACTATCTAGTCAGTAGAGATAAGGTTGCTTGTCGATCCGTGTCTATATTCTACACGTAAATACAGCCTCTCTTCGGCTGAAACGAAGCTAATGCTAATTATTCCCAAACGATGACGTGATCTAAGCATTCTTTTAGTCCTAACCAAATAACAAATTTTTCCCACTAAACGAAACTAACAAAACCGAGTAACACAACTGGCTGTTCGTAAAATCTCAAGAACCGAGCAGCTTTGTAAGTCGAATATTTCATAGTATCATAGCAATCGAATTTGAAATGCTGGTACTTTTATTAGCATTTGGAATAAAATTCTAGATAGCATTGTTTAATTAAATCTTAGTATGAATAGAAGCAATGAACATTTCAACATGGAAAGGGGGGTAAATTTTAAGTATAGTTAATTGTTGAACGAAAGGAAAGTACAGGTCAGATTGAAGCTCGATTATTAACCCGTTAATTTCCAGCGATCCGATGCATCAGTTACGTTTAAGAATAATTTATAACAGGCCTGGCAAGGGTTAAGAAGGATATAGGACAGAATTTGAGCAGCGATGAAGGCATCGGGCCGCTGGTTACACGCTAAACTAAACGCATCGAGTGGACGTTGTTCAACGTCGATGCATGCATAATTCACCCGCTGTATCCATTCATTATTCATGTCGTGATCAATGGACGTCGACAACCACGATCTGTATCTGAACACGTCGCCCTGGCGGAAAGTGAAAGGGCGACACGAAGAGGCCGTCGCGTTCGCTCGAATTTCGTGAAACGAAAGAACCACGTCTGTCTTCATCAACGACGATGACGACGACCTGGTATACAAGTTTGCCCTGTTCTGTGTTTGACAAGCATTTTATTCGCTTGACAACTAATTTTTATACGAGTCGTTAAAGGCAGTTATGGAATTATAAAGTCGTAATTATAATCGATCGATCGGATACTGGTACGTAATGTCTGATACAAATAGCTGCAGCTGTATATTATGAAGAACAACAAAGGGATTCGTGTTATGGAAATTCGCGCCGCCAAACTCGAATTTCATAAAACAAAGGGGTTAACCGCGTGAACTGTGTAGGGGGGGTGGTAAAAATCGATATCGCGTCGAAGGAACCTCGTTACCGATAAATTCGATATTATGAGGTTGATATTTGCACGGGTGGGGGGGTTTACCGCGCCGGGAAAAACGGTATCGATAAATATCGAGCGAATTTCCATCCGGTCACGATAAATTGCTCCTCCCGAAAATCAACACCAATAAATTCAGGGTCGTGGAAATCGGCACCGATAAATTCGGTGTCGTAAAAATCGATGCCGATAAATTCCGTCCCGTACAACCCTTCGCGTGGCCGACGGGGATGGCAACTAAATTTCGGGTCGTGATAACTGGCCGAGACGAGCGGAGGGGATAAATTCCGAGTCGCAGACGTCGAACAGCGACCCGGGAAGATCGCCGGGTCGTGGAAATTTCGCTTGATGACAAATCGGTGTTCGCGTCGGATCGAGAAGACGCGATATAAATTTTGCGTCGTGGCACGCGACATCGATGAACTCTGCTGGACTCGAATCTTTCATTAATCAACTCGCGATACGACCCAGTTGCGCTGTTCTACCGCACGTGCCTACGCGTACGTGAAACGACGTGTACACGCAAGATGAAACTGAACGCGTTGCGAAACGGCTCGACAAAAATGGATTCGGTGGCAGTAGCAATTGGAAACGATGCGTGGGCGAATTTGTTTTGACGCTCGCGCGGCTATTAATTAAATTCAGGACAATTAAACTCCCAGTTACTCAATCGTTAAGCGTCGTCGCGTAATTGCGAGCGTTTAATTTCACGTTGTAGAAATCAAATGCAGAAGTCAAATGGCGCGTTAATTGAGCGCCGGGCGTCCAAGTGCGAGGGAAAGAAATCCGTGTACGTGCCCAAAAAATATTAGCCGCGTTCCGTCGGGCGCAGATATCGTTTCGCAACTTCCGCTGAGGTTTACGGTCTCGTAAAATCTTTAAGGACAGAGGTCGGAACAACCGAAGCTGCTCACGACGAACGTGCTGGCCGCGTTTCATGAAATCGCGAGTAAGTACGAAAGATAACCGCGGCGAAACGGCTATCTCATCGCGTGGTCTCTTTGTTACTCGGCAAGTATCCGCGATAAGCGACGCATCCCGCGACGACAACGGAACGGTAACAAACGGGGCCGAAAGAGAAAGAAACGCGGAACTGAGGACGATGAGAGACGCGACGCCCGAATGCTGTGACGTTTTCATGCCCGCACGTTTGCATATATGCATACGAACCGCGACAGTGCGAGGTTGTAAAGCGGTTAAGAGGATTTGTCACCTCGTGTCACTGGATAAACTCCTTTTCCTTCGCTCGCGAAACTCCGCGCGCCCGTTACTACTTCGGTCGACATCTTCCAGGACACGATTTGAGAGTCCCTCTTCTCCCTGTCTCCTTCCGTTCCCCGGTCGGTCCTCTCACCCTTTTACCAAACACCGAAGCGAATCCAAACTCTGCGTCCCGATTCCTTTTGTTCGCGGGCGCATCAAACATGAAATATGCGAGTTCGCTTGGGGAATTCGAGTAATTTGCGAAGAGGAATCGGCGGAAACTCAACTCTCGTCTTTAATCCCTGCCGAAATACTAGATTTGTCGAACGTTTCACGAGCTCACCGGGAACGTAGCGCGGGTCGGAGGAAACTTAGCCTCGCGAAACGCATGTGATACCGTGGAAAGTTCTGCTGGAACTTCTTCCGGCTTCCGCCTGCAGCCATCTCGGAGCTATAGGATTTAGCTACGTCGAGCTATTAATCGCTACTTATTTCAGAGCTTAATGGGGCCGTAAAGAAAATCGTTCGAGGACACTGCCACCCGGCGGGGTGAATTTGTTGCACCCACTCTACGAGTGCCAGACGTGCACAGCTGTGAGCTAGAACCGTTTTAATGGTCGCATTGTGTCTGTTTCGTCGGGCACTCGACTTTGACAGAAACGTGGCGTAACCGGGGAACGCGATCGGTATTTATCGTCGCTACTCGTCCCGTTTTATCGAGAGATATGGATTTCAATTGCTTCGCGGATCTTTCAGCTCTTGCCTCATCGTTTCGTCCTCCTCCTACTACCTTTTATGGAAACCGAGTGAAACAACGCGGGAATAAATTGAACGCCGATACCGACTGAACTATATACATTGCTCTTGTTTATCTTTGAAAACGTATTTATCTTGGATGAAAACAAACCGTGGAAAGATGGAAAGTATGTCGGTTGATAAAATCCGCGAATACGTCTGTCAAAGGTATTTCGGTACTTCATCGAAAATACGTTGAGGCTCGCGGGAATCGGCTTATGCAAACAGCGAAGACGGAAGGTGGCAAACAATGGTAAAACAAATGAACGACTGCGCTCCGTTCTCGAGTCTAACGATTTCGACCATTCACCGTGGACGGTTTATTAAAAAAAAAAAAAAGTGATATCGCGCGATGTACAGTACACGAGTGGGATTCGTTTTAGTAATATTGCAACGTTCATATCCGTTCACAAATATTAGATCTGCACTGTACAAACGACGGGAGGTATTCAGCGTTTTCAAATTTATACGAATACCTCGGTCATAACTAGCGGTGGTTATTAAATTTACCGAGATTGTTACTAGAGCATCGTGAACAGAGACGTTCGACGATGAGCGATGGGACGAAAAATGAGTTGGCCCGCGGCCGAAAATCGAATGGGGAAAGGAATCGTACGTCAGGACGTACGAGCAGCGAAAAAAGATGCAATGCAACGTCAGCTTTGTGTATAGTATAAAGCGATAAAGATCATAGACCGTGTCTCTGGAGCACGTCTAGCAGAGAAATAAGAAGTATGAAAGCCGGAGGGAAGGCGGGTAAAAATGTGAGACTGAGAAAA